AAGCTTATAGCAAATATAAAAAAAACACAATTTAATTTTGATTTACAAGGCAAGTATGACGTATGCAGTCATTTTATAATTTATATCTGAGTTATCTGTTACATACTATTCTTAAAATTTAAATATATATTCACTAAATAATTGATTTAAAATATAAAATAAAGGAGTTTGCAATTTTTATTTTATAATTAAATACTTTTATTTTACCAGAAATATATAAGCTTTTATTATAATGAAGCATATTGTAATGATAAATTATTTTGTTTATTTTATTTCAATTTTAAATGGTTTTTTTCATAAAATTTAAAAGTTTTAAAAAATTGTGTGTGGAATTATTAAACATTGCTTTAAATATTGCTTTTAAAAGAATCAAAAATGTTTTTCTTTTTTTGAAGAACCTAAAACTCAAAAGAATTAAGAATTTTTAAATTTGCAGACAATAATAAATTTATCAATGCTATTCATATATGAACATATCGTTCGACTAATTATCTGGCTTTTAAGAACCATCAAAATATTTTCCTCATTGTTACGTATAATAACATGTATAGTCTGAGAAATAAACAGTTTTCAATCTTTCAGGATGTGAAAATTGAAATAGAAATCGAAGGCATCTCCTTAGGAGGAAAGTTTTATTTTTTAATTCTCTAAACAATGTTAATTGCCAAACATTTTTTATAGAGTACAAAAGTCTTGATACACCTACGAACAAACTTTTTACTAATTTTTTTCAAATTATTTTTTGCAATTTTTTTTACTCAACATATTTTTATTTATTTTCTGAAATAATCGGTCTTACGTCTTTATAATGCTTTGTCAATTGTTTTCCTAGTTAGTTCACTAATATTAAAATGTTTTTCTATTTTTCGCCTACGTAAGATCTCATTTTCCGTACAGGGTGCTGAAGCTTAAATGCAGATTGAAGCAAACTATTTAATATTCGATGATACTGGTATCTTAGCGCAGTGATATCTTAGAGTGAATGGTGGTATGTAAATGACATATACTTTGAATGAATTCGCTTGACATTTTACTTTGATCTTGACAACTCAAGTAATGGCAGTTTGTATATATCGAAAGAACATGTAACAAATACACACACACTTCAAGAGCATATAAACCTCATTCTGGAGTATTTTCAGAAATGGAAAATAAAAATCAATAATGAAAAAACTAAGGCTCTGTTTATAATGCGTAAGTGGAGACAGAATCCATCGAGAGTGAGAGTGGGTGATATGGTTATCACCATATCTGGGAGGACAGCGTTAAATATCTCGACATCGCGTTGGACAAACGATTCACATGGCTTAAACATGTTCAACTGAAAAGAATTAGCTGTGCCAAAATTCTTCATTACCTCTAACCGCTATTTAGAAATGAAAATCTCAATGCTAAGAACAGGAAACTGATATATAACCAAATAATTCGTCCATCACTTCTACTACTATTCACCAGCTAGAAATTGCACAAAGCCAGGCTCTGAAAAGACTTTTTAAAGTTCCATGGTACATTAGGACGAATGACATCCTCAGGGACATCAAAATTGATCCCATCAAAAAATACATACAGGATAGAGCCCTGAAATTATTTGCGAAATCTGACAGATTTACCAACACCGCGTTATCAAATCTCAGAATGGTTACAGGCTCCTCGGGGAGTTATGCAGATCTGAGGTTATTTATTGCTTAGTCTGATGAAGTGATAAACAATAATCTAGTGAAGGTGTAGAGAGGGATTTTGAAGAAACCTCGAGTTAAAAAAGAGTATAAATGCTTAAGTGCACTAGCTCAAAACAGCTTCAACATAATAAAAACTAGTTGATCAAAAACTAACCAACTAAAGCTCAACTAAAAAAAATTAAGTAAGTAAAAAAAAATACTACGAAGCGAACGGTATGAGTCTGCGAGACTCATTTATGAGTAAGTTAGGATACCGAAGAGCATAGCAAATCAAAGAATTAAAGTTTTGATCAAACGGAAGGTTTGTCAGATTCTCTGATGACAACCAATAAAATCGGATAGTTTTGCATTACAAAGACCTGTTAAAAATGTTTTAAAGTAGATTTATAAGCATGTCAGTCATTGTAATTAGTAATGAAACGTGTTATTTCCAATACGAACTGAAAAAATAGATCAAATTGCGCTATGAAAAATGTTAGAAAAGTCAAAACAGATAATAGGCCATAATTTAACTGTTGTGGCCTGAGGTTAACCACATATTAACTAGTGGATTATCAAGTGACCTGTCTTTTATTGATGTGTGCTCTAACTGTAGACGTACATAAAATGCATCTAGTTAATTTTTTCATAGTACATACAGATGTGCGCTGAATTTATTCACTGAACCCCTTGAAATTGTATGAGCCTTACGATATATTACAAAGACCTGTTAAAAATGTTTTAAAGTAGATTTATAAGCATGTCAGTCATTGTAATTAGTAATGAAACGTGTTATTTCCAATACGAACTGAAAAAATAGATCAAATTGCGCTATGAAAAATGTTAGAAAAGTCAAAACAGATAATAGGCCATAATTTAACTGTTGTGGCCTGAGGTTAACCACATATTAACTAGTGGATTATCAAGTGACCTGTCTTTTATTGATGTGTGCTCTAACTGTAGACGTACATAAAATGCATCTAGTTAATTTTTTCATAGTACATACAGATGTGCGCTGAATTTATTCACTGAACCCCTTGAAATTGTATGAGCCTTACGATATATTACAAGAATGACTTCAATAATTTATAATTAATATACATGTATACATATATTAATCAATAAAATCAAATCCGTGGCCAGAAACTGCCTTGTGGGGAAGAGTTTGCAGATAATTTCAGTATTCTGAAAGAAATTTATGCTTTTAAAAAAAATAAAGTATTAAGAAATGATTATAATAAATATTTATATTTAAATTTATATAAATAAAAATTTCAACTATTTTTTTATTCATATTTTGCATATTTTAAGTTCATGCAATTATGGGCTGTTAATAAATTATATCACATTTTTTATTATAATACATTTTTTTTAGTTAAGTACTACTTTGTAAACAATTTCGAAATATAAAAATTAATTTTTAGGTTTATATTACAAGTCTAGTAAATTAGGTCGGCAGCAACATATTTAGAAATTGTCACAAATGATTATACTTTACCAGGCCACCTTACAACCTTCACTATAAACTATTTCTTTTCACGACATCATTTATAAATAATACTCTTTTGGAATGTTTAACCTAATGTTTTATAATGATTTCAATTTACTCAGTTTTTTTTTTACAGTTATTAATCTTTTCAGACATTTTTTTGTCAAATTAAATTAACAATTCGGAAATTCTTAAAAGACAAGTCTTTTAAAAGTAACTCAACGCGTTGGCAACCGTAATGCTTTCTTATTAGGGATTTTCTATTTTCTTCAATGACGTGCTAAGTGCACCTATATTATTTTATTAATAATATATATGTATAATTATGGGTCTTTACGATTCTGAGATGCACTTAAATTATAATTTTTCAGTGTAAAATTGTTATATGTTATGACTATTTGAAAAATTATTGGTTGCTAGTAGTAGTTTTTTGCAATGCACAGTCGTCTTATGGGGATAAAAGTGATTTTCTATTTTTCTTCTTTAGCAGCATATTTACTTCAAAAATCGTGCAATGACGAGTTTTAACAACTTTTGCTATAAATTTTCAATTCTGTAGTATTTCGATGTGCGGTGTCTATTTCTGTTTGAGAGTTATTTTTAGCCGACTTGCCCAGATACATAATGTTTCAAAATGTGTTCATGAGATTTAATAACGAAATGCAGAAATTTTTCGTTAAAATCCGACCACTGTTATATACTTTGTGTGATACACACTTTATTGTGGGTACAGTGGGCTGATACGCTGAATATTCACAGGTTGTAGTAATTATGAAACATTTAGTCTATTTCGACTGCTTGAGAGCTTTGCTGAGAGAAACCTTTGCCAATGAGCACGAAGAGTAAAGGTAAACTCGCCGTAGAAGATTCCTTCTGGCTGTCGTAGCCGTTGCTGCTGCCCACGGATATCAAACGAAAAGTGATCTTTTGAGGCAATTGGCAAGAATATAGTCTGCCGTAGATCGTCGGACCGTTCAGTCTGTTTGTTCCGAGCATTGCTTTTCGAGTAGTGTGGTCGTTCGCACACCTTTTTTAAATTCCTTAAAGGTGAGTGTGAGGTGAAGGAGCTGGAAAATTCTATAACAATTTTTAATAACTTCGTAAAAAAAATTACATTTAGAATTATATTATGTGTTGGATTACAAATGATTGTAAAATCAAATAACTATATATTAAATAATATATTAAAAAAAGAATTTCAAATAAAAAATATAAATAAATTTCAATCAATTAAATTATTCTTAAAAGGGAAAAAAGTGTAAAGTGTTAAAAAATACAATTGTGAGAAAAAAATAAAAATTAAATATTTTAAAATTGTATTACAATTTATAACGGAAAAATAAATTAAAAATATTATGTAAGCTTTGAAAATTGATTTTTTTTTGAAGGATTAAAATTTGATTAAATAAAAATACAAATACTATATAATATACGATGTGATCTTCGATGTATACAGAATTTAAATAACTATGTATAATGAATGTATGTGTTAAATACGCACACTTTGTTATGGGGAGCATTGCATTAAAATGTGTGAAAATATATTGAGAACATAAATATTTGATATTTTTTAATGAAAGAATAAAAATACAATGAATAACGAAAATAGAACTTTTCTCTACAAACAAGTAATTTAGCTAAAATTTAAAAGAAATCTTTTTTTCTGAAGTAAATGAAACTAAATGAAGTATATATTTCTATGTATATTATAAAAATCTTGAACATATTTAATTGTTTAAGATACAAATTATGTTACCTTGACCTGGTTAAAAAAAAAAAAAAAACCATATAATACAATGATTGAGTTAACTATACTTGCACCAGTATTTATACTTCACTGTTATAGCAACTGCTTAGGAATATTTCTGTTATTATTAGAAAAATTTAGGAACCAATCAAGAAATTATTTAATTATATCTCTGAGTATATTAATGAAAAATAAATCTATTTTTAAATCATTCTAATCCTACTTAATAAAAAATATTTCATTATAATGAAGCAGTCGTAGTACATTTTAGTTTTTCTATTAAATGTTATTAAAACAACATATAATTGCAAAATATATTTCAAAATATTTCGATTTAAAAGAAAAGACGTAAATATAAGAAAGAGATAAAAATCATTTTGATAGATAAATCTATTTATAAGACTACTTTCGTTGGCTTGGTGCGCAAAATTTGATATTTCTTTTTAAATAAAATTATATTACTTTGTAGAAAACAACGTCAAAATATTTTCTTATTAATTTTTGTAACATTTTAGAATGATTGTAATAATAAGAATTCTCGAATATTCGCTATTATAAAAGTACAAACCACTGAATGTATATATATATATATATATATATATATACAAACATATTTTTTTTAGAAAATTAAGTGTTTTGTTTTTACAAATTTCATTTATAGCAATTTGTTTACATATATGATTTATCAATATATGAAAAGCTAGAGTTTTAATAATATTATTAAATAAATTATTACATTAGTAATATAAAAAAATTTATTAATTCAATATCAATTAAAAGCTTATAACGCTAATCATAACAAACATTGTTAAATAAGTATAAGAGTATAAGTATATGAGAATCAATACTATTTCCCAAATATTATATTTTTTAAATTATTATTTGCATAAGAGATCTGTTAAAACTTTTCAAACAATTTTTTGTATATATGTGCTTACTTTTCCAGCTTTGAAAGCAAAAACAACTACACATGGTGAAATCGGATATCGCATTATTTGAAAAAAAGCTTTTCTATACATACACAAACTTGCTTATTTAGTGTCGTGTGTATATAATGTATATTGATCTCTTTCCTGCTGACGTTCGAGAGATTGCAATTGCCCACTCACAAATTCACCCACTCACTTCAGTTTTTCATCAATAAATGTTTGAATGAGTATGAGTTCGTAAGCACACGAAACTTATAATGTTTAATGCATGCGTAGTTGCTCTCAACACAAGCAGAAAATTTATTTTACTCTTCTCGAAGATCATTAAATGCTTTTGAATTCGTAGTATCCATATACGGCGAATCCATCAGGTTTTGTATTTTACAAAATGTTTTTTAATGTTTCAGTTTTCTTTTTATAGTTTTTTTTTATATTCATACCACATACGCAATTTTGGAAAATTCTATTCTCATGATTGTGATGTAGCATATTTGCATATGTTTCTTTTAAAATATAGTTTTAAAAGATTTTTTTTAGAAAACAAAAATTCGATGGAAGGTTTGCATCTATGATGTCTTAAAAAATAAGGTCTTTTATTGTAACCAAAATGATTGAACTTGAAGTTGATATCAACCTTTTCCTTGATATTATTAAATGATCTATGTTTTACTGTTTAAACATTGCTTTCATATTATTCGAAATTGGCAATTATAGCGGATAGGGTACACCTAAAGAATATACAGTCTCATTACTTTTTATTACATATATAGTACATGGTACTTACAATATATATAATATAGTTTGTATGTTAAAACTGTTTAATTTTATTTATTACTTATTTGAATACATTTACAAGGGTTCAAGAAATATTTTTCATCTAAATGATTTTTTTCTGTTAATAGATACATTTTTAATATTTTCTATAACTAAATTTAAAGTAGTGTTAATTTTGACAAAAAAAATTCTCAACTATTTTAAAATAACTCTTAAATTAACTTTATCTGATTAGAATTAAATAATATAATTGAATATCGTGGTATTGCGAGAAGCAAACTAAAAAATGTTTAATATAAGTACATTATATTAGGTATATATTAAGTATAGTATTAGGTAAAATCCATTATTTCACATAATTCGACATTGAATATGTTCTAAGGGAGTTAATAGAATTATACGTTAAGTTAATTAGGGAGGCAATTTTGAGAAATTGGGATTTAGTAAGATTGATTGTGATACCATTAAAAAACTACGCATATCTTTGTCAATAGAATTTATATTTTAATGGCTTTTAAAAAATTTTTATAACAATTTTATAATTATTTTATATTTCAGTAACTAAAAAAACACAAATTCAACATGGCTGATGACGAGGTAAGGTAAGAATTTGTTCAATTTTTTTCTATATGATTTGAAAGTTAACCAAATAATAATCGGTCTCTTTTTTTCATGTTTTGGTGCAGTAAAATTTGTTTATTTAAAGAATTACTTTCACAAATATGAGGATGATTTGAAGGTGAATATATAAAAGCAATAAATTTAATTTAAAAATATTGCCTTTCGCATATTGTCTTTGAACGGCTTAAAAATTAAACTAACATGAAAAAATTATCTTAACTTAAGCAGCAATTAATCCGTATGCTATGAAGCGTAATACTATTCTAATCATGGTACTACTCTTCTAAAGATTACAGCTTATTATTTTAGTGAAATTAAATGTTTTTCAATTATTAATAATATTTTTTTTATTTATAGAAAAAAGCAGCAGCTCCAGCTGCGGCACCGGCAAAAGCACCGGCAGTAGCACAAGCACCGGCAGCAGCACCAGTACCGGCAGCAGCACCAGCGGCGGCAGCACCTGCAACCCCAAATGGTAAACCAGCTGCAAACGGTAAGCTTGCAGCAAATGGCAAGGCAGCTACACCTGCTGAAGAGGTAGCTACATATACCAACTGACAGTCTATGTGCGGAGATGTTTTCCTTAATTAGTCCTGTCAGTATAAACTTCTATTAAATGTATTCACTGAATAAAGTTATAAATAATGTGCTGTCTGTTGGATGTTTACAATACATATATTACTAAGTGCAAGTCTTCAGTGTTCTCATATGTTGTTATTCAAAAACTGTGTTATTAAAACACTTAAAATCAAAAAATAATATCAGCGAATTTTCACTTACACTTTCGTAGGCAAAGAAGGCTAAACAAGCTGAAATTGAACGCAAGCGTGCTGAAGTACGCAAGCGTATGGAAGAAGCTTCGAAAGCCAAAAAAGCCAAGAAAGGTTTCATGACACCAGAAAGGAAGAAGAAACTTAGGGTAAGTTTTTAAAAAGTCTTATTATTCATATATAGACCTACAATAGTTAGTATCATGTTATAGTTGTTGCTTCGCAAAAAAGCCGCTGAAGAATTGAAGAAAGAACAAGAACGCAAAGCCGCTGAACGTAGACGTATCATAGAAGAACGTTGCGGTAGTCCCAGGAATCTCAGTGACGCTAGCGAAGGTAAAATTTTGTTTATATTTGAATATAATACACGCATCTCTAATAAATTGTTAAAAAGTTTAATAGAATATTACAGCTATATTTTGTATAAAAATCAATTCATTACACATACACATACAAAAGCAAACACAGTCACATTCATTATATATACACTTGATATATATAAATAATTATTCGTCGATTTTATATATATATTTCTATATATAGATATATCGTAATTGTTTTAAAAAAATTCTTGAGTATTTTTTAAGCAGAACTTTTTTAAGCAAGCGTACAAAATAAAAACAAAAATATTTAATTTTGACCATTAAACTCTTCAATACAATCAACAGAAACACTTAAAAACCTTATCAAGCAACACTATGACAGGATTAATAAATTGGAGGACCAGAAATATGATCTTGAATATGTTGTTAAGCGCAAGGATGTTGAGGTACACACAAAGACTTAAAAAAGCGTAAACTTATTTTTGTTTTCAATTTGCCAATGAAGAAAGTAACGCTTATATAGACATATACATATATATGAACTTCAACACATATTTTTTTTGCCGGTACACTCCGTGAGATGTCACTTTCTTCATTGGGCAAA